TTGAAAATGAAATACCATTTCGACTTCACCATGAGATTCAGTGAGAGAAACTCTATTGAAGTAAAGCTATTTCCAATTAAGATATCATAGTCATCATATACTGTTATACAGGGTGAGTCATTAAGCGCGCAGTCCTCGACATCTCATTAATTAGTATTATTACAGACAGAAATAAAGTCCGATACTAAAGTTGTATGGTTGTTTGAGTAGCATACACTGAAATTATTTTCGATTACATAGAGGGGTTTGTTTTTGAAGAATATTGTAACATAGATTTTGAAAATAACCTTATTGCGATTTTTTTGTGAACCCTTCCGTTGCTAAAATTTACTGCCCTACAATTTTGGTCTTATTTTTTTATTTTTTATATATCGATATCGCAAGACACTCACTCGGTGACTCATCCTGTATATGCTACGTCTGACACACCATTAGGATTATAATTTTAGACTGCTAGAAAATAACTCCATAAATTCATTATAAATAAATTAACTACATCCAAATATAACCTAAAGTTGTTATCGACTAATATTCTAGATCTAGATGCATATTCAGATTTAACGTCAACAAATTTTAGCTTAAAATAAAAATGTATGGTACAGTTTGACCTCAGCGTCCTAATAACGGAAACTGGCCATACTAAAAATTAATTAATTTATGATTCATAAATGTAACACTTTTATAATAATAATGGGAACACTTTTTAACACGCACGTGGTTTATGAAGACCATCATCTAAGTAAAGAAAAGACAGTATGTAATGTAAAGGAAATATAAACAAAAATAATAGAAATGCTTATATATTTAATATGTCAATAATTGATTGTCAATTACTCTTTGATGTAGAATTTACTTCAGTTTGCGGCGTGGTGAAACTAGATTGATGAAAAAATCATAAAGAAATGGATATTCTGCAATGGTGCCGGCTAACAGCTACTTTATTTTTGTCTAATGTATTTAATGACTTTGAGGGTCTTTTCTTCCTACTGGTATTAATTTACATTGTCAAAATATTTGTCTACAATATAGCAAAAATATTGGAAAAAAAATTTGTGGCCGAGGCGGCTTTTTTTTTTTATTTCATCGTAGTAACAATTCTAAAGACGGACTTTCATCAAATGTGTAAAAATAAATTTACTTTATTCATTTGCGAAGTTCATTTCCATTAAATAAATCTAAAATACGGTTTTCAAAGTGTAAGAAACATGTTAAGCTCACGACATTGTTTAGTTACCACTTCAGAAAACAAGATAAAAAAAAGAACAATAAATAGCTAGTAGGCAAAGTACGGAAGATTTTTAATTTAACTTTTATTTGGAACATAACAAAAGTAGTAAATAATAATCTGATGTTATATAATTCAGACAAAGTATCTGAACAACAGAAAGCTTCTTTTGTTGAACCATTGCTTACTTCTGCCAATATAATCTCTTTCAGTGTAATGAATAATGATCATTGGCGTCTACCGAAAATTTTGAAAATAAAATGAATGTGGGACAATCCTGTCTAAAATGTGCAAAATATGTATTATGATTCTCTACGTGCGGTTTATCAATGCATTCATATTTTTTAGAATTGGTTACACAGGGTTATTCAAAAAAATTAATAAATGAGGCAATTTATTTTCCCACCAAGAATGTGATGACAGAGATTAAGTTTCATTGGAAGTGGTGACAACACGGAATTCTTATTTCATCATTATAATAAAAATTTTTAGTATTAAAATACGTTCTTATTTAACATTTTTAGCATTTTTGACATACTGCATAATTTAGGCACTAATACTAAAAGAAAAGCAATTAGGCAAAAGCCAGTAGGGCTCAAATAGAAACATTTCTTGTGAAATACTTCTGTAGGAGTTTTGCATGAAAGCCTGTTTCAGAAATGAGAAGGCATTCGCCCTAAGATCCGCTATATATATTTAACCTTCAATTAATTTTGAAAGATAGTGGTGTCAAAGTTTCGCTGTTTTCAATGAATCGTAGAAAAATAAACAAAGTGTAACGTCAAAAACAGATGAGATATTTTCATGAGGAAAAACATGTAAAAAATTCTTTGAAGTAATGTGCTATTTAATAAAAAAAAAAAATTCAAGTGTTCCAATCAATGTACTCTGATTTAAATGTAATTTTTTAACTCCTCAAAAAATGTGAATGTATATAGATGAGTTTGATTATCTTAGGAAAGACTTGTCTAATTTTTTTGAATGCTAAGGAACAGTGGCGGTTTGTGACGTTTTGAAATGGAGGGACACAATTTGATTGATGAGTTAAATATGAAGATATAAAACAAGTTGTTCTTACCAATTAATAGACGAAATTGTGTGATGGAAATAAATACAAAATACAGTCAATAAAAGTAAAAAAGTATTTGTCCACATACCTTTTTGCCTTCGGTCAAAATTTTATGTTGATGGCATCTAAAAGTTCAATTTGGACAGTTTTAGACGTTCCTTCAAAAACCGCGGCTGGGCACTATCGCGGCAGGACCGGCTTGCACTCTACTATCGGCTACTGCACGCACCGTTTCCATGACAACGGTGTAACCAAAACGTCTAAATCAGCCATGATTCGGTCTCCGGCTTTTATCAGTACTTCAACATATCATATATCTAAAACACAACATCTTTATATTAAGTGGATGTAAGTTTTGATAAATTTTATCTAAGTGGAGCGAGATAAAAAAATTTGTTTTGATAATTATGAGTCAAATTTCCGGATAATTTTTTAAATATTGAAAATTACTATTTTTATTACAATATTCGTCAAGCTATTGGTGGCGATGGAGGAACCCTTTATTGCAGGCTTAATAATTAGGATGCTTATTTTCCTAAATACTGTTACGTGATTAAAATCGGCGTGGGTAAAACTCAACAATTTATTTCTTAATAACTCGAATTACACGACTGATTATTACACAGCGATTAGGTACAAAATAATAATTCAGGCGCAACTTGACTGTACTCTAGTGGAGTCGATTTGATGAATAATCCTTGTTCCCGACGGTGGCCTCTATATAAACCTATACGTTCATCTCGATGGTTCGAGAACGCACGCCGCTTCGAGAGTTTTCTGGGTTGCCCATCGCGACTTCCGCTTCCAGGCTTTTCGTCAGCGAACGTCGCGCCAAAGAATAAACATATACATACTAGAAGACCCATAGACGTCGTACCGGGGTGGCGTATGGGTTTATTTCGTAACAATACCTTGAAAAGCACTTGTAATCCTTTATCAATAAATATCTTCAATAAAAATTTAAATGAATCATTAACCAAAGTATCATAAATGGCTGTAATAATATACACAATGATTATAACGAGAAAACTAAAGAATATATAATAAATAAATTCTAGCGGCACTTTTTTCCAAGACTCTCTCGAGTCTTCTAGGCATGGAATCAAAATTAAATTTCGACAAAAATGTTTCGTTCAAATGCCAATTTTCCCCCGTATTTTCAATTAATTCCCATAATGCTTTTCGATTCCGGGGCCGTAAATTTAATAAATTTGATTGATTAACCTTCCCCAAACATTTTCTGTAGGGTTCAGGTCAGGACTGTAATAGACACCCACGGTAAATTCTCAATATTATGTTCCACAATTATTATCGCTTAATAATATTTACTGTATGAATAGGACTGTTGTTATGTTGAAAAATAAAATTTTTTTCGCTGTAACTATATTTCCTGTACAGATGGCAGCGTAACATCATTGAGAATGTTACGATAAGCTCTAGAAATCAAGCTCCCATTATCGAGTTTCCGACAAACACCAGGTCCATTAACACTTATCCAGGCCTACACATTTGTCGCAAATCTTCCTAAATTATGTGCTTCAGTTAGCTATGTATCTTTCCCCAAGTCTGAAAAATTTGTGTCAAATGCAGCTATAGAAGCCGTTTCAAGTAATTAATTAATTTCTTGTCAAATCAACAATTAACGATTAAATTCCACAAGTAAAATGTAATTGCATGCTTTTTCATTACATAGAAGTATAGTGAGATTTATTCAATTTGTTGTGTCATGCTCATAATTCAAATGATATTTATTAGTATTTATAAATTAGGTTGATTAAAAATTCATGTCCTCCGGAAGAAAAAAGAAATTTCAAAATATGCATGTACTATAAAAAATGGAAGTGGGCAGATTCATAGAATTTAGTAGATACGCATAGTGGAGTTAATTTAAAAATTATGAAGAACAAATTAGCTCGTAGTTTTAAGAACATTGGGGTTTTTAATCTTAATCACTTCTAGCGAATTTTCCATATTTTTAATTTATTGCTTCTAAGGAGCAATTTTGTTTTTAACGCGGTACACATCTGGATATATTTTGTAAAAATCCCCTCGTACTGTGCTTACTAAGCTATCAATAGTAACATGTGTTATACTGCTTTGGAAAAAATACTCCACAATTTCAGATCTATATATCCGGAAATACAGCAAAATGTGCATTTAATATATGTACTTAACAAGACTTGGAATAATAATAATAATAATAATTTTTCAACAGAAAAGTTCCCAATTGCAGAACAAAAATAAATAATTTAATAACAGTATTAAAATAAATAAACAACGATAAATAAAATAATAGTATCAAACAAATTAGTAAAATACATCCATAACTATGTACTTGTACGAGGAGCACTTCCACCTCTTTGTTGTACCGGCACAATGTTTTGCGCGTGTAAATACTATTTCTTTTGTACATTAAACGTGCGTATAAAAGCGATAAATTTTCCACTCCGCGTATAAAAATGTTCCAATTGTTTCTGGTGTATGGAGGCGCAATCTAAAGCGGCTGCCTCTACGGAAACGTACTCCATAAAATAAGAAAATCACTGCGTACGCGTATTGCATCACAAGTGCTATACATGGTCTAGTCGGTTACGTTACGTCGAAGCGGAAGAACATCCCCACTTGCTACTGTCGCTACTGCAATCCGCGATAAATTTCTTGGAATAGCGAGTCCTTTTCCATTTAAACGGCAAATTGTATCTATCGCTAGTGTTTATATGTGGGTACGCATGACGTAAGACTACTATTGAAACTACGATCGACAGCGGTGGTGGGGCCGGCTGAGTACAGTTCTCAGTCTGTTCCTATATTCGAAAGAGTTTGCGTTGTGTCTCTGCGTATCTGTTCGTTCATCGCTGCTTTTTTTTCAAGAATGGCACGTGCCACGAAACACATCACAAAACAAATAAACAAGTATGTCGAAAGTGCAAACAAATGCTAGTGCCATACCCGATGAAAAGTTCCGCCGCACAATGTTGGTAATCACACCGGTGCCTATATCACAACCGATATTTTCAGTATATTATTTTTAAACATACGTTGGTGTCTGCACTAAATTTAAATCGTACACGCGAAACGTAGAGAAATCAATTTTCAAAATGTCACCACGTTAACTTTCGACGACGGTTCGTTTTTTGGAAAAATATAACTGGAGAAAATGGAAAGCGCGGTAATGGCACCGGGAAGTACCCGTTTGAAAGTACGCGGGAAAAGCAACGTCGGACGCAATTCGATTACACGTCTTTTAACCCGCAACCATAACATTAATAACAAAAATAACCGCAACGGGGCTGCTAGACCCAATTCGTTAAGGAACAATTCAAACCAGAGACATTTAAATTTTAACAAGGGTTCGCGGTGTAGTAATCAGGGTGTAGATAACGCGGCGTACGCAATTAATATCAACATCAACAATGGCAACGATACCAGTGATTCCAAAATTATTTTCTCAGGGAATTTTACAAGGTAAGGAAGACGTAGCTGAGTTGTATGGGTGTTGCAGAGAGTGTAAGCATAACTGCTCGATGATACGTCCCGAAATGCATGAATGAACGCCTTTGAATGATGATAACAACCAAGTTCTGATTTGCCAACACTAGGTTACTACATGTCTACATGAATAGTCATTGTTTTTGTTCTTTCAAAAGATCCACACCGTTACCAAACATTACTTAATAGATTTGAGTTATTGTCGTGACATGTTTTTTCCGGAATAATTATTCGTGTACCACTTTCTGCTCGGTTATGTTAACAAAGGTCTTTGGTGTGTACGTTTCACGATGCTTGCTAACAACAGTCATGAGACGTTTAAAGACGATTTTTATATTCTTGCTGAAAATATTTTTGTACGAACTTTTTAGAGTCACTGCTTTAACATTTGGCATTATGTTTATAATGATGGATTCATTATTCCGACGTTGACTGTGTATATAATGATGGTCTATTAGAAACGATGGTGTCATCAGTCCACCCAAAATTATAAATATAGATCACAGAAATAATTTTTTTATAATCCCGTTCTACAATACAGGCATCTCGTATTGGAAGATTAATGAATACGATTGTAGATTTAATTTGTTTTCCTTTACTCGAAATCCAAAGGTTGTGGTTGGTCAGGAAATAACATTGAAATGATCGTTCAGCTGTGACGCAAGAAATTCGAAGTAAATTACTCTCAAATTTTTAGACGGTGGAATGAATAATGAAAAATTGTTCTATTTTTATGCAGACATTGTTTTGTAATTATTAGTCAGCGGATATGAAAGGATTTCTTCATTAGAATGCGTCTTCTTGATAAATTATAGAGTAGGTGTCAATAGATCAAAGAGATATTGGCTCCTATACGTTATTCATATAGCAATAAATATGACCGCTAATAAACTACATGTTATAATTCAATACATTTTTTAAAGTCGCCACTGCGTTTAAGAAAAATTACGAGGAGTATATTTGATCGTATTTATTTTTTTTACATTAAGATTTTAATGTTTTGTTGTCTTCGCCTGTCGTTCCAATTCACGGAATATCTAATTTTATCGTTTTTGTGAGGAGTGTCAAGAAAGGAATAATCAATTTCAAAAGGTTGTATTTTTACAAACAAATATTGACACAAGAAATTACTTTTTTTCACAGTTTTACAAAAAAGGATTTTATAGGAGCAATAAGTCCCCTTACAGATTGCAATAAATGATTTTTATGATTGTTTTAATGTTTACAAATAACAAATACTTGTGTTGAAAATGGAACGATATAGCACATTATGTTAATATATTACTCTGAATCATACAAATTTTCTATTTTGGTTCTTATTGTTCAACAAAAATGAACAGCTCTTTTTCTTTCTTATGAAAACAAAACTCTTCACGCATTTTTTAATTCGTGTTTAAAAAGAGAAAACAAAAATTTAATTACCTTTGATATATGTACTTAACGTCTACCTTTTGTTGCTAATAACCACGATAATAATAATAATAATAATAGATAATAGTTAATAAAATGCTATTGTATAGTGTCTCTTGTGCATTGTTTCTTGATTACTGTATAGTTATGGCTTGCAAAACCTTGTAGTTATTACGTACATCAATAAATATTATTAATAATTATCAATAAAACTACGTGAACCAAAAGGTTAGAAAATCGATTTTGTTTTTTTTTGTAAAAAAGTTGAAAAAAATAATATAACTTCACTATATTTAATTTAATTTACAATATTGTCGTCCATAGTACAAATTAAATGTCTCTGCTTTTATTTTCCTTAAAAATACGAAATATTTTTTGAGTAAATCTTGCTGATAACCAGAGATACCGATTAAAAAAGTAAGATTAAAAATGTACGGAGCGATTTCTTTAAAAAATATTCAGGTTACTGACTTGGCTAGCCAACTTATCTTTAATTCAGATTGAGAATACATATAGGAAAATTTTAGCTTGAACAAATTTAAACGTGATAAAAAAATGTCATTCCACATATACTTTGATATTTGGCTACCTGTACTAACAGTAAGTAAGTATATAAAAAGATTTATCACTCATTTAACATTGTTTGTACGCCATAAAACGAAAAAGAATAACATGTAGTTCAAAAAAAGAGATCATTAGGAACTAAAACTGGAAATCAGTTCTGTCGCTTACTATTGCTCGAATAATGCTTAAACTTGCTTGCTTGACAACTAGTATGGTCATGTGGAATTTGTTATCAGATTTTCGAATCGTTATTCTTACCAATCTCGACTCACATAGTAAAGTTCAGATAAAACATTGCAACTGATTGAATTTTAAAAATGTGCATGTAATGACAAAATTTTTAAGTATGAAGCCATTAGCAGTATGCACCTTAGGTCAAATGAAATTTAAAATTTCATAGAAATGCTAATGTTACATTGTTGTGTAATTCAACATTCTTACAATACATAATGTGGTATGATGCAGTAATCTATAACTAGAACGTTCTTGTACGTAATTATTGACCAAAGAAACGATGATCAGTCCCATATCTGTGTATACATTTGTATTTGTGCTTATCAGGATATGATTTCATTTTATGGTAACTCGTCCAGTCATTTTATAGGGTGACTTTCTTTAGAATAAGATAATTTAAATTATTATTAATCGTAGTCATAAATTCGCTTTTGTGGACAAAGAATATTTGACTATTAGTACAGACCAAATTTGCTTTGACGTTTCATAAGCTCCTGGAGTAGAAAATTAAAGTTTCCAAAGTGACTAAATTGAAATTATAAATACACGTAACCAAAACGGCTTTTAGTCCCGTTCTAAAAATCGTTAACGTCATCTCAAAATTTCGAAACTTAGTTCTTTCTTTGAACAGTCCACCAATATTTTTTATTTTTAAATTCTGACGAAATAGAAGCATTGTCATTCGTGTTACCCGTTATACTAGAATTAATATATTTAATCTTATCAAACAATTAATGACGTCATTTAAAAATTTGTACAGACAATTGCACGGAAAACCTTGCGATGCATAACGTATTGTTTTTCACAGGTGAAGGAAATGAGATTTTTTTTTATTCTGAACATTAAGTAAAAATATGTACCATCATCCTTGTGTGCTGGGTATTTGTTACAATTAGTGACATATCGATATCCATGCGGTTTATTCTATACAAAGCAACCGGGTTCAACAACTGAAAATGAGAAGTGGAATCATAACTTATCAATTCTGATACAGTGTCATTAGTAGCCAATTAATTAATTGCTGTCCATTATTACATTCCACAGAAATTTCTTGTACCGACTTTTTTCTTGGTTTAAGCAGTCAATTAAAATAAATGGAATCTGTTGACATTTGGTTTAGGTAACTATTTATTTATAACTTCCTAATGAGATCGACGTAAATATTTATGCTTTAAATCCTTGGGTAGTTAATTGCTCAAAGACAATTCGTCATTATTTAACAAAACGCACCCTTATTTGCTGTAAACCCGTTCAGTTCTGTGTAAAGTGTACTGAATTAAGCAATGTACAAAAATAGAAGTATAAGAACAATAACAACGCACATGTTCAACGGAAGTAGAACAATTCGTTCTACCATGAATGATTGACTGTTTAGGTAAATAAATCTGCTTTTACACGGCTGAAGTGTCAATTAAGAAATTCGGGTGTAGCAATACCAGCACCAAATTATAAACTGTACGGATGGCTGGTTAACGTCGTATCTGCTCCAATTTCCCTCAAAATAAATAACTAAATTGCTCCATGCTTTAATAATAATAATTAACAAAAAGGAAATATATTGATCACGCATATCAACGTTACTTTAAATCCCGTTTTACAGCATTGACACACCCGATATTTAACATCCTGGTATGAAATTAACTATGATTTAATTTTCTTCTGAAACGTGATGTGACACCGCGTAGTCAAAATCAGTGGACTTTTCACGATCTGTAATTAAGAGTCCCTGAATGCCATTACGTAAACCTTACAATATCTTTGTCAAACACTCCGTGAGTAACCCGATGACGTCGTATCGGTTTTGATTTTTTTCCTCCAGCAAAGTTATTTTTCTGATGGTTACCAAGAAGAGGATCGTTAGTCATTAAAATCAGTTGGTGATGATACCGATGATCGTGTGGTCGTTAATTTCGTGGATATTTACGAAGAAAATTAAAATAATAATTGCCGGAGTCTCGAACAAGTCAAGGACTCCAATAAAAGGAACTCTATTGGATTAACGTCTGCCCGGAGGCGTCGTAGTGTCTGCTATCTTCAAGTAGCGCAGGTTTGTCCGTTACACCAGTGGCGTACCGCTAGTTTTGGGTTAATTTGTAACAGTTCTAACAGTTTCACTGTATGATACGGTGGAGATAAGCGTGGGTTATCTTCTGCTAGAACGATTACCAAGATTACACCGACTTTGTGACTAAATACCTGATATAAAAGCACCATGTGTACACACGTACGTCTGTTTGTACTGTAACGTTAAAAAACTGTGGGAACTCTTACATGGTAATAACCATCGTGTAATTAACCAACATCCATAACTGTACATGCTGACGTACTTAATGGCCGCTTAATATCTGTAATTGCAATAATGCAAATTGAAAGAATTGTTAATTAGTCCATCGTTACTCTCTCCTTATCCGGTGCCGTCCTAATAATCCCTCAAAACAACGAAAAATTAGCGAGACAATAGCGCAATTATTACATCACACGAAAGGAATCACATCGATAACTGTTTAAATAAATGCCGAATGGGTGTGCCATATTCTTGGATTAAATTGATGGTACAAAAGCACCCGAGGCGCATATCGCGGCTCATTTTAGCAAATTAGAAGATATTACTTTGATAGTAATTAATTTGTGTCCCAGAAATGCCGCCTATTCACGCCTTCCCTGAACGACAGTTGAGAAAGATGTACGATAAGTAAATTGGGTTGGCGCTAAGAGATCTTCAACGAAAATATTTTTTCCATTCAGTTTTAGCGTGTAAATTATTGGAA